TGGCTGCCTCTGGGGTTGGAAGTCCGGATCATTGGCCACGGGCGCCGTCCCGTCAACTGTGCTGTCCCCGCTGCTCGGGATAACTTCTTCCGGCTGTCTTGGCAAGAATGAGCTGAAGCTACTTGAGCCGCGCAGTCCTCGGCGAGTGATCATACCCCCGGAAAGCGAGCGCATGTGCGTCAGGCCACCTGGTGAGGGGGCGTGGGAGCGTGCTGGGGTGTGTCGAGGCGACGTGGCAGCGGGGATCGACGTCGTCGAAGTCGCCGCCGAGGGTAATAACGATGGCTCACTGGGAAGTGGCAAGATAGGCATCGAGGGACTAGTAAGCCTGCTCATCCCAACACGGCTGAATCCGGCACTCGAGCTCGAGAAGGATCGGGGATGTAGCACTCGTTTGGGTGGGATCATGTCCACATCCAGATCATCGTCCATATCGTCTTCAACGACCGGGCGACTTTCCGATGGGTCGTCTTCGAGAAAATCGTACTCGGGCTCAGGGTGGAACTCGCTCGCTTTTCGCCGTGGCCTCACTACCTCGTTCTGGCTTGAAGCTCGCTTCATCAGAACTGAACTTGGCGCTTTCAGCCCCATCTCCACTGCAACCCTCTCCCCGCGCCTAAACTCCACTTCCTCGGCCCAATCAATCTCTTCGGTGCGGACACCAGCGTCCCAGCTAGTTGAGCCCTCCCGTCTCATGCGCGAGAAAAACCTGCGCATCTTTCCACCGCTCCATGATGTTTTGTTGCTCCTGGGCCTATGTGGTTTTGCACCAAACAGTACACCTGCAGAAGTCGGCAGACTCGGTCGGCGCGAATCATTAAGAGAAGGCCCGCCCACGGGCGGGTAGAAGCCAAGCTCACCGAGCTCTGTTCGACTGGAGCTGGAACCCAAGTCAATACCACTGCTTCCCGATCCTAGCTCTCCTCGGCTGTCACTACCAATGCTCAAGTCAACCCTACTGGCGTTAAGGTCGACTCGGCTACCAGCCCAAGGACCACGCAAGAGTGTCTCGAGCGAACGTTTGGCATGAAGGTGATGTTTTTCGTCATTGGAAGTGGGGGAGGTCGATTTGGGGTTCTCTTTTGCCCAAGCACGTAGAGTGGTGGCAGCATCGGTCTATTACCAACGGCAGTCGTGAGATAGATTCTATGCTTAGACGTGGAAATAACCCACCCGACCTAATCTCTCCGCAAGCATCAACGGGGTAACCCCGTGCTTGTCAGTCTTGTTTAAATCGGCCCCGCATCTTAACAAGAGTGTCAAGACGTCTACATGGCCGTTTGCAGCCGCGAAATGAAGCGCAGTGCTGCCGCCGGTCCCGATATGGGAACCCCCCACGGTGTAGATATTCATAGAGCTGCCACTGGCGCCCGTACGGCCTTTGCCTCCACTGGCACCCAGTTTCCGTGACAGCCGCCCGATATTGAGATCTGCACCGGCATCGATAAGCATGCGCACTACACGCGTGTTCCCGCCACTGGCCGCCGCATGGATAGGAAGAACGCCATCAAGGACGGCATTGGTCGGCTGACCGTTTGTGAGCGCAAACGACACGAGGCCGAGATTTCCCGTGGCGGCAGCGGAATGGAGGCCGTAGTTTGGGTCTGTGGGAGATGAGATGGATTTGTCGATGGAAAGTCGTTTGGAGAAGACGGTATTGATGGGGGTGACAATGTCGGGTGATGGTAATGGTAATGGTGCGACCAAGTGAGATCGTGTACGAAGAATTAAGAATTAGGGTGAAATAGTCAGCAAACAAGGAATGTATATTGGGGGAAAAGGCGTGGGAAATGGGGACAAAAGCTGGGTGCCCGTGGCGGCAATCCAGAAGCAATTGTCAAATGGGGAAGGATGTGCAGGGCTGAAAGCGCTAAAGGCGTGCAAAGGGCCCAGTATTAGAGGGTAAAATCGACGTAAAATGGGAGGCCAAATGGAGGCATCTGGCAGTGCCGAAAGGTGGACGAGGGGGACGGTGGAGTGGTGTGTATGCAGAGTGGAGTGGGACAAGGGCAATATGGAGGACGTACATTCTGTGGTAACATTGTACTTCGCTTCTGCCTTTTGCACAGTTCGTGACGAAGTGATGGCCGGCATCGCGAGCAGGTGCGAGCGGGCGCAAAGCCAAGGTGCTTGGATGAGTCGTGTGAGATTTTGAGCTTGGAGGGCAACAAGGTCCGCCGGCTAGGTAGGGAAGAGATGACCTAGGCGGGGAGTTGGTTCAGTGTTAAAAACAGAGCTTAGGTCCGGCTTTGGTGCAACTGAGCTAGAGCGCTTGAATCAGAAAACCGGCGATGTCAACGCACATGGTGCATGAGCTCACCACAACAACCTAATCAATATATTCTTTCCTGAGACAATCCTTCTGAGACAACCAAGGCCGAATACCACACAACCCGGCACAAGCTTCTTTGGCAGCCGCTGCCCAAGATCCTGAGGCCGATACAAGTCCCGGTGGGGTCGTTCGTGGGGCGGGCAAGTCGGTGTGGGTAGATAGCAGTCGCACAGATGCTCGAGGGCAGCTGGCCTGTACTCGCAGTGGCTATCGTGGCAAGCACTGAGCGGACACAAGGGCCGGCCAGATGTGGCCGCTCGTAGACTTTATGACCAAGTCCAGAGCACATTGCTGTTGCATTCGTATCCGGGGTTCCGGTTCCCCCGCCGGCACCCTGATCAGGGTCCTCTGATCAGAGCCGCTCCTCACTGACTGGTACACCCCCTCGAGCGATGATATCGCTATGGAGACAAACGCATTTACCTAGTGTGTACCCCTATGTCCTACTCTCTCTTGTCTGTGGCGTCTCGCACGTCTCGCTTGGCAACGGTGCTAACCGCGCCCGAGATCGATCACTTGCTATCTCTGACGATCACTCTAGGCACTAATGCGCGGTTATTGTTTCCTATCAGACTAACTGGTTTGTACCAGTTTTGTACCTCTATTACGGGTGGTCAGTGCTCTCGAAATGGACACATTGCTAGGCGCTAGTTGTATGCGCCTATCGTTGAGCGAGGGCGTCCCATCGCCCCACACCGTCGGGTTCTTTTACTCTGACCGGGGAAGCGCTCCGAGGATTAGCCCCATCATTCAGCCCATCTCAGTCTCATTTTTGCGCGTCGTTGGTAGCCAAATGGTATAACACCCCGGTCGGCTTCTCCTCGGTCATCACATGCACGTCAACAAACTCCTCGTCGTGGAACCCCGTCCCGGTTTCGTGTGATTGATTGTATTCCGTGTTTTTAATCGAATTTTGCATTCGTCATGTGGACAGACGCCTGGGCGCTCGCGTCACCGTGCGCACCTGTCTTATCTTTCAGCAGCACATGGTTTAAGCCCGTTAGCCGCACGGCGAGTTCTCGACCGTTGACATACGCACAGAAGACCCCCTTTAAAATACAACCCACTGTGTTCTTCCGTGCTACTCGGAGGAGCCTAGGTACCCCGCCGTTCACCCCGGTCAACTGACGCATGGCGTGCATGTATGCACCCCGGCATAAAGCTGCTTTGATTTCGCCATTTCTTCAAAGTTAAAGTTCAAATTACTATTTTACCGCTATCCGATCCACGAGTCCAACCCAGATTCGCTTAGCCTAGTGCATATGTACGCCACTTCTTAGATTGGCGACTCGAGGTCTGCGCATACAATTTGAACTGTGGGAGTATTAAACGGAAGACATTTTTACAAGAGCCACCTGTTTCTCCCAGTGTGGCCACCACTCCAGAATTACTAATCTTGGCAAAACATCCAAATCTCGATGCTGTCGTCACTGGGGACAAAGGTCGAGGCACAGCCATATGGCTTACTGTATTTACAGTTACTGAGCCATGTGCCAGCGACAGCCACTATAGATCCAACCTTCCAATACGAAACTAACCCGATACGCGGGCGGTGTTTTCGCCAGTTGGGGCTTTCTACTACGCGAAAACGTAGGCAGGACGCACATATCGGCGTCCGACTGAGTCGTACCTGGCCACTCCAACGGTAAATCCCCCATACGCGTGTTTGAGGTTTGGACCAACGCGGTCTGGTCTCTCCATCGTGGCAACGTCAAATTAAAACTACATCAATCGGCAGAACGCGAAAACGGTCGGCCTTTTGGTTTTTGGAAAGCAAAGCGACGCAATGTTACCACCCAAAAGAGTACGAAATACATTCTTACTGGATTTAAGCGTGCTATCGAGAGATTCTGGGTGTTTTAGGAATGTTGGCACCGGAAGTTGCCTGGCCGAGCCATACCCCAAGACCCCCAATCCGGGATATGTTAAATGTATTAATGATGATTATTCCCCATTCGGCGATTTTGTGGCACTTGGACCTTCGATCATTCATTCTGGTACCTCGCCATCGTTCATGTCATCACGATTTGCCAGTCCCGCGGATACTTACCGCTCGGCCACTCGGACGCGAACATGAAACAGACCGCCCGAGAATGAGCAATGAACGCATCAGCGGAGTAGATTATCTAATGGGGCGCATATATGGTCTAGGACGATATGAATACGAGAGTTGGGTTTGGGGCCTTCTATTTATTCACCGATGTTTCCCGTCGCGTTTCGAGATGTGCATCGCATACCTTCGGATTCTTTTCTTGTTGGATTGACTCCGAAGGATGCCCTAGAACTTCGGGTCCGCTCGGCCGGCGCGGGTTTCGTACACACTGATGGGATTCGTACGGATGGTGGTTCATTGACGGTAATAGGCAACCGGTTTTGGGACCACTCGATCTGTTCCGATGGTCATGTATAATACGCATACAGAGGTATAGGGTGAAGATGTGGGGGTTTCAAACCCTGAGTATATGCGTCGGCAACCACACCATATCTAGCTTACTGTATGCGACCATTTCTCGGCGTACATATAGGCAACCAAGCACGCAATACAGCAGAACTATTTGTGCATATTATAGCGCCAAAGTGGGGTTGAAGGAATGCGGCATGTGATATAGGCCGGGTTCGGTCCCTGGGAAGTCAAGGGCGTAAATGCGCAAAGTTCCCCCCACAATCAGCCGCGGTAGCTCAGCTGGGAGAGCGTTAGACTGAAGATCTACAGGTCACCTGTTCAATCCAGGTTCGCGGCATAGCTTTTTGTGCTCTTTTTGCAAGGGGGAGGCGAGGGGGAGAGGCTGGAAGCATATCGGGTAGCATACAGCCTTGTATCTCGCGTACACGCCTTGTTTCGCCTTTTTTGTTTAATTAATCCTTATAATGGGTTCCCAGGTACATTTAATTGGCTTGGTACACACTGTGAGACAGCCAGGTGACTGCAATACGTCTGTGGTGGCCAATACACGCGAGGTTTGCGGCTAAGCAGGCAACATTCAAGCAAATCCGCCAATTTCAAATTCCTACATCCAACGGTTATTTTACCTTGACGGTCAAGATAAGGACCGCGCTAGAATCTATGGCTAGTTCTGGGAGGTTTGGCTAAGTAGAATCTTGGTTTAAATCCTCCGAGCTGGCACCCAGGCCTAGGCATTGACGAGACCAGATAGAATGGAGCTTTTGCGAGGCGGTTATAGAGATCTCCCAAGGCAGGTGTTTTCGAATTGACAATTGAGCACGTTGATTCATCTTCTCAATCAGTGGTTCAAGTGGTCGGGATAATATGGCCGCCGTATTCGAGGATTTGAATTTTGTGGATTTGCTTGTTTTATGAATATCATCCACCCATTTTGAACGTATGGATTGTACGAAAAGTCCTGAAACATGGTTATCAACTCCTTAGTACTCGTGGTAAATAGTCCGTGGCACTTCCAGTTAGGATGTCCCTGCGCCTACCATATCGGTATGGGCACATGCGTCGTAAAATTGCCCCTTTATGATTCTTCGATTCGTTTAATTGAGCTCCAACGCGTCAAATAAATGTGGATAGCCATGTGTGATCCTCTCCGAGTCGAGAACTTCTCAAAGAGATTTCAAAGGTTGATTGAAATGAATTACACCTGAGTCTAGAGAGGGGACTATTTAACATTAAAGATATATACGCGATGTGAAGGGCAGAGGCTGTGAATAGCGAGCGCAGCACCGAAGGAGTGACAAGAGCGAAAGTACAGCCTGGATACAATGCAACCCAAAGTGAAATTGGCCTATTCAAAATTCAAAGGATTTACAGAGGAGTCAGGATAAGAGGCATGCGGTGTCCTGATTAATACGTTAGTAACTTGGTCCGCGAAATAAAGAGCCAAGCTTACCCTTGCCAAACTGGTTCTTCACATAGGGTCGGCTAACGAGGAAGTTGTGCGCCTCCATCGGACTTGCACCAGTGAACTCGAACGAAGCAATCATCACTGCCAATATCACCTTCATTTCAACAACAGCCCATCGGGAGGCGGGACAAGACTGTGTATAGTTATTAGTGGTTGCTCAGCAGTATTTGTTCGGCCGGGACTCACGTTAGGTCCAACCGAAAAGCTCAACAGGTTGGCATACAAGCCCGGGTTTGCTTTGGCCGTGGTAGGCAAGCTGTCCCATCGATCGGGGCTATTAATCATAAAGTTAAACTTCAGTAATTCAACATGAAACGAGATCACTTACTTGAACTCATGCGCGTCCTCGCCCCAAATCGACTTGAGTAGGTTCATGCCCTCGATTGGAACGTGCACAAACTCGCCCTTGCGAATTCGAATACCCCCGCCAGATAAACCCGTCTTGTGACCGCCAACCCACGCCTTGGACATCTCACCGTTCTCATTACGCACAGGCTCAGAGACGGGAACGATATCGTCCTTCATGGCAACTCGGAATGTGCTGTGGACGCTTGGATGGAACCGTAATACTTCGCGGATAAATTTCTCCAAGTAAGGAAGGGCGTCGAGTCGTGCGGTGAGATCTCCTAGTTCGCCCGTTAGGTCCGCGTATGTGTTGCCTGTTTCTGAAGCACCAGCGGGGGCAAAATCTCGTAGGGTAGCCGCCAGAGGAGCGAGTTCGGCTCTTAGGCGAGCTTGGACTGGGGGATAACGAGTTAGTTCCCAGAGAGCCCATTGTATGGCCATGCTAGTTGTGTCGTGGCCGGCGAACATGATCGAGTCAACCTGAGCAATGATGTCCGATTCGGTGAAGTTGGCTGCATTGGCTTCATTCGAGCACACTAGGGGTAATATTATCAGTAATTTGTGGAAACCATACAAGAGAATCACTTACGAAGGAGGTTGAGCAACACAAATTCCTTGGCAACAGTCGCACCAGCGGCATTTTCCGCCGCAATCCCTTCACGGCGTTTTGCAAACAAGGCCTTGGTCTCCGCTTCAATGATCTTTCTGCATCGTTTGACCTCCTTGGTGCGTGCATCAGGCTGAATTTCCAGTTAGTTAAGTGCATACACAGACAGAATGGTGAGGCTCACAAGGCAGTTTGCAACCCATCTAGGGAAGAAAAGGCCCAAGTTATGTAGCTTGTTTTCCGTTTGGCGAAGAGCATTGAACATGCATCGATAAGCATTATAAAACGTGTTCGTTTCTTCTTGGATTGAATGGAATTCGTAGCCAAAGGCTAAAGAACAAAGGTATGAAGCGGTCAATCCCCGATTAGGTATAGGATATTACCGACAAACACATACCGGCCATTCCGATAATATCGAACGTCGCCCTTCCAATCCAGTTATGCAAGTCCATCCGCACACGGGGACGGGGTTCTCCTGGGGATTGTTCAACCTCGATGCCCGGTCGTGAAGCATCTTGTGGTGTGGCGAGTACGGAGCGCAACTTATCACGGAGCTACAATAAGGGTAGGATAAGAAGTCATTCCAATGGCAAAACGGGGACCGGTCTTACCTCAAACGATTTATGTAAGAAGAGGGGAGCAAGGTTTTTGACCGAATGGTAAGAGAACGCAGGGGAAATGATACGCCGGAGCTTGCGATGCTCTTCGCCCTCGGTGGTTAAAATGCCCCGGTTATCTGCACCTGTAAACAATGTTGGTACATCATTTTGATTTCTATTCGTGCATCAGACTTACCACCGCTAACCAGCCTGCCAATAAACCGACGGGTTTGCCACGGTTTTTGGAAGATATCACTGGCACGGTTGAGCCTATTGATACCTTAGTCAGTGGGCCAGCGGTTGGCGAACTATGTGTCCTACATATAATTGATTGAAACCGGGTCAACGGTCATTAGGCGCTGGTCGAACTACATCCACGTATTAGAGCATTTTGCCACCTAAAAAACAACGATACCCACGTATGCCATCCCTTGGAATCGTATAGTCCTTCCATACAGTTTCTCATAGTCTTCGTGCAACTTTGGGGTGATTTGGTTGCTTTAAAATTGCCATATTAGGATATTATTGATGCGCCGCCCCGACATCGAAACTTACTCTTGCAACTGCCACAACTGTTTATCGACGAAATACCCATCTACGGGAGGGCCGGGCAAATATCGAAGGTAGCTTCTACAAGGATCGATGATCTAGGAAAAACAACGATCAGTAAAGACAATAAGAGTGACGGTTGGAACGCTTTGTCCACGAACTCGAGAGAAAGGTGGTTGTGCAGACTCACCCATAGAACAATAAGATAGCGCGCAAAATAGAGTGCGAGCCAGATGGCGCCGTACTTGAAAACGAAGGAAGCAAGACTGCCTAACACGGCGCTGAGGGACCCAACCGACATTGGCACGAAGGGGGAAGGGGGGGGGATTGAGGTAACAGGCTCTGGGTCAGGTTTTTGAGATGCCAGTTGGACACTAGTCTATGTCAGAAGATCATGGGGCGCTTGATTGGACCTTGCCATTCGAGGGACCAGGGATGAGAACTTGAAGCCAGCGCCAAACACAGTCAAACTCGCACATTGCCTCACGTGCGTGACGGCGCGCCTTCCTTTGTCGCGTATCTACCATTGCTTGCCACCGGGTGCCATAGAGCTGGCATATTATGGCTCGTCGAGAAAGCGTCATTCCAGGAACCGTTCGCTACGCATGGCCTGATCGACCACTTGGGGAAAGGAACTTAGACCACGGTCGACAGGGTGTTATCCAACAATATAAGTTAGTTTATCACACTGGCTTTGAACGGATCGTAACCACTAGCAAGAAGCCAAGAAACTCGCTGGAAGGAGTGACCATTGACAACTATGCTATCGGCGACACTGTGGTTGTGGGCACTAAGGCTGGCGAACCTTGCCTCGCTGTGATCGTCTCTATGTGGTACATTTCAGCTCCTGGGCGACTGGACTCAGCCGACGACGACGATTTTCTAGATGAAGCGCGTATGCACATACTGGTGCACAAGTTCCTCCGGCCCGCTGTAGATCTCCCCAAGATTCGCTCACAGCGCCCCTATCGCAAGGCAAGTATCCGTGGTTACGTTTGGTTATATTTTGACCGCGACAGTGTTGCCAGAAAGAGATTTATTATGCGGTCAACCGAGAGAGCACCAGCATCAAACTTCGCGTCACTCCATCAGCAATCTTGCGTCGGTGCACAATCTCTGCTGATCCGTCCCGTTTCTCCTCATTATGTCTGACTGAGGCCCAATGGGCTAAAACGGAGCACCTCCTGGAAGAGCCGTCGTCCCAAAATAACCCTCCAGTAACACCCTCGAGACGTAACCGGCCCTCCCGCACTGCGACCCAACAGGCGGATGCGGCGTATGATTTTCTTTGTTTATCCGCCCACGATGCTCAGCTTGGCATCTACTACGATTTCGCATGGGATCTCTTCCGGAAGCAAGCGTTAAAACTGTCTGAGCCATCGGTCGAATTTCAGGACTTCAATGGGGATGGATGGAATCTTAGGGTAGATAAACCGTTGCCTGCTCAGCCTAAATCAAGAGCAACTGCAACACCCAGGGCCAAGCCCTCCGACAAGACACCTAGGGCATCAAAACAAAGGCAGGCAGCATCCAAAGCTAGCAGCCGATCAGTTTCGAAAGGCCCAACTACTCCTACCAAGTCTACGCCCCGTCAAATACCATCTACAGTCTACAAGGATGACCCTGAAAGCGACTCGGACACTTCATCGAGTGCGGGTGGCTCCGACGTTTACGAACCAGTCCTGGATGAACCCGAGGAGCCGGATGACTTGGAATCTGGGGAGACTCTTGAACCTGATGAATTGGGGGACGGAGAAGATCCTGCGACTGAT